TTGCTTATTTGTTCCTCTATTTTTCCAGCTCCCAGTATAGTTAGCCTGATCCATGGAGGGACCTGAGTTCATGACTTAACCAGGTTAATTTATTCCTGAACTTCCTAGCTTTCCTTCAAAATAAGGTAATTTGTATTTATGCCTTTAATACTTGGGGGAGTAGGGTAGAGTACCAGTTGTCCTATACATTTTCACTACTGCCACAGCTAGTACCCAGTGACACTAGGTGAGATATATAACACTCGATTACAGATTTTTCAGAAGTAGTATTTTAATACAGAATTTTAGTGGTAGTATTTTTCATGAGTATTAGGGAAAGGGCAGAAAAGTTGGAATTAACTGTAAATGAATAAACACACTTATGGAAAATATGGCATGACTTTCAAGCATCTCAAGTTTCAGTTGGTAAAGCAAATTTCCCTTCCCTTACTTTCATTCCCAATATAGAAGAGAAGCACAGAATTAATTAATAAATTTTTAACCCTTTGCTGCACTTTTTTTTTCTTTTGTGTGTGTTTATGTGTGTGTATAACTTAAAAATAAATTATTTCTCACAGAAAATAAGTATGGGGCTGGGTCAGATCGGAGGCAGCAGAAAGGAGCTTAAACGGCAAATTAAAAGAAAACAAATTCATGTTAAGGAAAAGACTCCATAAAAAAATGACACCCCTTGACTTTGTTTCAAGGGCTCATGTATAACCTTACCCTATCTAACAGCTCGTCATGGTGAATGGCCTCCCTTTCCCTTCTTCATTCCCTCTTCTCTGAGGGTTCTAGCTTGCAATTTATTCTTCACCAAGTCATTTTAATTCTTCTTTCCACCATGACGCTTTCTGCGGAAAGGTCCAATAACAATGACAAGTTAACAGGAATGAGAAAGAAAATAAGGAAGAGAGCATCTCTTGATTTTGGTGGCAATAAAACATTGTACTAGCACAAGGTGGCGGTACAGAACTTTTAACAGATCAGGACAAATAAGTAAGAAAAATGAGAAGGAATAGAGGTGAAAATTCAAAGTAGAAGAACAGAGTATTGATGATTCATCCGTCCCACAGTCCATTGCGTCATCTGTAACAGTAAAACATTTCACATGCAAGACCCTTAAGATTTATAGAAGGGCTAATCTTACAGATTTCATTTTTCAGTGAGAATTGTAACTGCAGAGGTCCCATGGAAGAGCCAGCCCTCCTTGTTCAAAGCAAAATCAATGCAAGGTTACCTCTGAAGTATTATACTCAATGTTTCTAAAATTCATTTCATTAAGAAAAAAAAAACACACAGGGAGAGGGATTTAAAGGACACCATGACATGTTCTTAGATCTAACTATGTCAGATTATTGGTAACTTTAAAAGTCTCCTATACTGTTCTTCTATGGAGTTCAATAACCATATCTTATTCCCCCTATTGTCTTATGGGCACTACAACCTCTGTACAATCAAGTTCTGAAGAGCTTGGTCAAAGTTTGGGTAGACAGGCGGCTTTCCCCTGTGAAACGCATACTGGCACAAATATCTAGAAAAATACTCCCAATATTTCTGATAAAACAAGTCACTTGTACTGGTTTATAGGGACTGAACCCATAATGATTTCATAATCATAAATAAGAAAAGGGACCACAGGTTTTACTGCTTCTTGAAATATAAGCTAAAAGAACAGCTGGACCCAGAAACAGAAGTTATACAATAGTGTTGCTGCAGTCTATCTTCTTCAGGATATTATTTCATTGCTTAGGACTTCTTCACAGTCAGAAAGCTGCCTTCCCCTCTCTCAGTTCCATTTCAAATTTTGTTAGTTCAAATTTACTGCTATATTTTAATTTATAGTACCAATGCTCCAACTTATAAGCAAGCACAACCAGATAATCTTCTCATTATTTCCATCCCACTCAGATGTTTGTAGCTGCCTTTTTTTTTAAATAAGTTTTATTTCCATCTAGCATATCAGGTGATGACTTCATGAGTAACAAAACAATGTTTAGCTTGCAGAGCTACTCCATGGATGTACAAAAACCTTTCAACTTTTACACAAAGCTGCATAGAATACAGCTTGCTTTCCTTAGAAGCCTTTTGTGCACTTTTGGGAAATCCCAAAAGTCAGAAGATAAAGACCACCAGCTGAAAACAAGGAAGAGAAAAGCTGGAATTGTTAGTGCCATTTTAACCCACAGGAAATCCACACGGCTGCCAAAGGGGGTCCACATTCTCCACCCAGATACTCATTTGAACAGACCCGCTTTTAATTAAATGTCCATGGTTCATGAAGCTGCACAGCAAGACAGGTCTGAAAACTGCTCTGAAGAGAAACTAAATCCACAAGAAATTACTTGTTTCTTAGGAGAAGGGGTGACCTCCCTTTTAGGAAGGGCACTAACTTAAAAGACCAATAGCCTCAAACTTTTTACTTCTATTCTTCAGCTTTGAAGAACATCATGATCAGAAAGTCTTCACAGCCTGAGGATGCTCTAGTTAACCATACACATACAGTACAGCAAGCAAATGAACCAGCCTGTGCAGGGAAGAGCACACTATTATTAACTATATTTTAACACATGCACTAAAAAACCACCAGGGAAGAAGAAAAGCTGCATTTGATACATTATAGGTGGTTGTGCATCATAAGACTTGCATAAAAAAAAAAACCCTAGAAACTACTTCTTGGAAATTCAGCGAACATACACAGAGGGATGTACCTAACAGTATAGGCCAAAGTGCTCTGAACTAAGAAGAATCAGTATGTTGCCTAAGTGCTGCATACCTACTACAAGCTGACAGCAAGCTCCATACTTTTTGATGGCAGGGATTGGCATTTTGTTATGTTAAAGCAACAGTCTAGCCAGAAAGTCAACGTTGCACCTATCTGGCCCTCCCTTGGTACCTTCAGCAGCTGCACTGTAGAAGCTTTTCTCCTGCCTAAATCGGGCGGCAGC